TGACCTTAACAGATACAAAAGTTACATTTCTTGTTATATACGTCTTGCTATATCTTGGTCTTAACCATCCAGCAGAAAAGTATAAAAACGAGGTATATAAAGTAAATCTGTGTTAATATGATGAGCTGTAAAAGGCTCAAGTCAATAACTTCTGAGGATAACCCTCTAATATTATAGACTGCTAGAAAGTGTTAGATTATTTAGCTGAATTCAAACACCTATAGTATTTAGATGCCAATAGAATATTCACCTCTGACAGGACAAAAAAATAAATATAAAATTTTTTTAAAAAGATACAAAGGAAAGATTTTGTATTTATGTATACAAAATAGGATAGATTTACAGCTACTTTGGCTTAACTCAGTGAGAAGAAAGAGGTGTACTAACAGTGTTTGGACAGAATATCCTGTCTGCTTCTTGTACTATGGATAACCACTAAGAAGATAACAATGTACAGTGTATTGACTATCAAAACTGTCCTGTTAATCAGCTGTGAAACTGTCTCATTTATATTTATTTCTCAATAAAAAAATAAATATATTAAAAAAAGAATTTCTTTGAAAAAGAAATAAAAACAAAGGAAGTATAAATATAATAAAGAAAAAAAAGAATAGCAGCCTTTATTGCTTGTTTTGTGTTCAGACATTGTGCCAGGCAGCCGAAATGTACCTACCTTAATTTAATTGTTGCAGCTGCCCTATCAGGCACTATCTGCAGGTTGCAATAAAGGAAACAGAGGCACAGAGATGAGCTTTTCCAGGGTTGGACAGCAGGCAGAGGATGAGCTGGACTTGAGCCTCATATCCATAACTGCAGCAGCCTTGCTACCCAAAAGAGTTCTGAGCGACTTTTGTTTCTTTCTTTGATTGTAACCTAAGTTGATTGCTGTCAGATTTAATATTCATCGTTGTATGCAAAAGACCTGGACAAGCTGCTTTTTAGTTTAAAAGATGTTTAATGCAAAATAAAGTTTACCAGTTAGAGATTGTAGTGATAATACATTAAACTTTTGCTGAGGTCCTCACTACTACTTTGAAGTAGAGACCGGCGGGCATCGTTGGTTGTAACGTGCATTGATGCTTGTGAACCTGTCTGGTGAGCTCAGTTTGCTTTTGCAGAGTTGTTACAAATGCCAAAGGGCCAAGATTTTTTCAGGATATTAAGTTAGTATTTTACGGGATCTAGGAAGGGCACTAGAGGGTGACTATGAAATGCCTCTTTCAGCCTTTCAGGATTTAACACCAGATTTAAGTTTGCACATTCAGTCTTCACACAGCAAAAAATATATGCACACTGCTTTCCTCTGGCAGGTGCTGTTCCAAGTTGTAGGGAAACATGAGTGACCAAAATAAAAAGGCCTTCTCCTGGAACACTCCACTGGAAGAAGATAGGGAATCAACAAAATAACGTAAGAATGAAATGTATCCAGTTATAGTAATAATTGTACAGAAGCAAATGCATCAGTGAAGGGGACTAGGAAGTGCTGTGCAGTTGTACCTGAGGAATGGAGCATGGAGAACACGCGTATGGAGTGGGTGACAGCCTGCGGTCATCAGGGGCAAGAGCAGACCAGGCAGCTGCAAAGCCCAGGCACCTTGTTGACCAAGGACAGTAAGGAAGGACTCCAGTGGATTTGAGCAGGGGGAGGAAGGAGATATGGCCAGAGACCTCATGGTAAAGAGTGGCAAAGACTTTGACCCCAAATGAAAGGGAAGTGGTCAGAGGGATGTGGACAGAGGAATGGGGGTATCTGACAGTTTTTGAAGGATCGCACTGGTTGCTGTGTCCA